GTTTAATGAATCACTCAGTTATTAAGTTAGGAACACAGATGTTCAGTGGCTTCCCCCATTGATTTTGCTTGTCAAAAGGGGATCACGTGACCCTGGGACACTGCGACCATCATAAACAGGAACCAGTTGCCAAGCATCTGAATTTTGATGACATGACCAAGGGGATGCTGCAACCGTCGTAAGTGTGAAAAAGTCATTTTTTTCAGAGCCGTTGTAACTTCAAGCGGTCACTAAACAGTTGTTAGTTAAGGACTGCTATATGCTGTTTTCCTTAGCTGCAGTGTTTGTCCTGTTATCTACATTGTGTTTGGCCTTGATTACAACAAGCCAGGTTGGAAGTATGGTTTCTTTTGCTGGTTTGAGCTATCCAGTTTTAAACGTAACTTCATTCCAAAGTGCAGAGAGAGTAGTAGGTACAGGTGCTAGAAACTTAGTAGAAGCATACAAATGCCATGATTGATCTCTTTCCCAATACCTATTTTTTTTGTTGGTTGGTTGTTTTTTGTTTTAATGGAAAAAATTTATGTTCAAAATATTGGAAAGACCTGCCCACTCTCATTTGTTCGTTCGTTCATTCATTCAAATTTATTAAACTAACTCTCCTCCTCTCTTCCATATTTTATGGTTGAAAGATTCCCTTGTTGAAGGACTCGGGCTTAACACCTCTCCTACTCTTTTCTTTGCTCAGGATGGAAGATACTTGGAGTATTGGCTGTATTTTTGCTGATGGTGTGGTATACGATATCCCGGGAAGAAAGGTATATACAGCTGTGAGTGTATTTCTTAAAAAAAAAAAAGGATATAGGAAGTTCATTATTCCTTACTTTGTCTCCTTAGTTAGATGGACAACGCTAACTAGAAGTCACTTTTCAGAATTTTGAGCCTGTGTCACACACACACACACACACACACACACACACACACACACACACACACACAGAGGAGGTTGGGCTATAAGTAAGCAAGATTTTTGTTCTGAATCCTTATTGTTTATTGGTCCCTTTTTAATACAGCTTGAAAGTGAGAACTATACCTATATACAGTACTTATTGACTCAAGGCAGAATATGTAGCATTCTGTCCTACTGTCCCCCAACCTCAATAATTACACTATGAGGTAGATTAAGCTGAGAGAAAGTTGCTGTTCTAAGGTCCCTTCCTATAGAAGCTCACACCCAGCTTCCATGGCCGATGATGGGTTTGAATTTGAAATCCAACACATTTACCACTCTACTTTACTTCACTGACTCTTGGGCCGAGAGAGGATCCAGCCCAAAGTCATCAAGTGAACCTCTGCTACTGCGGAGGGACTTGAATCTGGGTCTCACTGGGCCTAGTTCAACATCTTTGCCTGTACACTACAAGAAATGCATGATCCCACATAAATCTGTTGAAACACAAAAGTAGTGATCTTATTCAGGATGTTATATCTCGCCTCCTAAACCACAGTGTGAGATAATTGAAGACAGAACCCCTGAAGACCATCTCAGTGCTGTCTATGGAGTCATCCTGGTCATGGTTGTCCCAAAGGTGCTTTTTCAAAAGGCAACTGGACTTGGTTTTTCCTTGAAGATGTTTTGCTTCTCATCCAAGAAGCTTCTTCAGTTCTGAACTGAAAACAAAGTCCAATTGCTTGTTGAAAAAAAAGGCACATTTGGGACATCTCAGTACTGTTAGGTAATGTTCTAGAATGGGACTGTGTGACCATTTTTTAAAAATAATAATAAAAAGCAAACAGTTTTTAAAAAGTGATATAATCATTCAGTTATTTAATTTTAAATATATATTTTTGTCCAGCCATGAGTTTTCCATGGGTTTTCGAGGTGAGATCTATACAGTCCATCAATGGCCTTTTCCCACAGTGGGCTTTATGTTAGATGTATATTCCACTTTTCCTCAAGTAGCCTTGCTTCATCTTGTGTCACAATAAAATTATACAGAAGTGTACCAGCTAGTCCACTAATACCATTTTGTACCCTCTGTGTAATGGGCAGAAGGAATATCCTTGAGTCACAGGAGAAAGATCCACAACCAAGGCTATTGTGAAATCAAAGAAATTGGAATCTGAGCCAGATATATAATTCAAAATAAGCCTCTCGGAAAAGGCTCTCTTTAGTTTTAATGACAATAAAGAAGGGAGGGAAGAAGCATGTTCAGCCTTGCAAAATAAATACAAGCCTTGGAGATAGTCTAGAATAGATCAAAACACTATAACACTACATTTCTTGTGAGGTTATAATAACAGAAACCTGCAAGTCTTAATATACTTTACCCCTCCCTGCCTTTGTTCCAGATAATCACAAAGGATTCATTCTGAGATCCTTATTCACATACGTGCTGTAGAATCATATTTTGCTTATCGGACACAGTCCATTATGGATTTCGTTACTATAACCCTGTCATAAAAGTTACACTGGCTTGCGTGACTTTGCTTTTCTAGTCTGATCTATCTTGCAAGGCTGACGCCAAGAATTTGCTTCTTATCAACTGAAGCAGAAAAATAATCATAGTGAACGCCCTAATTGTTTTGTTTTGTTTAAAAAAAACCCCAATTTTACCAAAACGTTGTTTGGAATTATCTGTACCCGTAGGCACTACCTTAATACTTCTTAGGTCTTTGGTTAGGATTTGAATTATTTAGTTTTCATCAATCTTAGATTGTGAATCTAACTGTAGATTAATGCTACTACTAGTACTACTAGTACTGCTAATAATAATAAGACTGGAATCATTAAATTTCTACCAGTCTTAACCTATGAATCTAACTGCAGATTGTTAACAACAACAACAACAATATCCCTTTCTTCCTCCTTGCCATTTGTCTTCCAGTTTTGATTTCCACTTTCAAGATGAAAAGATGACTTGTCCTGTAAAAGAGATAGAAAAGAAAGCTGCACAACTGATATCAAAGTGAGTAACAGAGCCTGTTGTTTGCTAGAACAATAACAATAATAGAGTTGGAAGGGACCTTGGAGGTCATCTAGTCCAACCCTCTGCTCAGGCAGGAAACCCTATACCATTTCAGACAAATGGCTGTCCAGTCTCTTTTTAAAAAAAATTCCAGTGTTGGAGCATTCACAACTTCGGGAGGCAGGTTGTTCCACTGGTTAATTGTTCTAACCGTCAGGAAATTCCTCCTTAGTTCTAGGTTGCTTCTCTCCTTGATGAGTTTCCACCCATTGCTTCTTGTCCTGCTTTCAGGTGCTTTGGAAAATATGTTGACTCCCCCTTCTTTGTGGCAGCCCCTGAGATATTGGAACACTGCTATCATGTCCCCCCTCGTCCTTCTCTTCATTAAACTAGACATACCGAATTTCAGCAACCGTTCCTTATATGTTTTAGCTTGCAGTCCCCAGATCATCTTTGAGAAGAATGAGATGATTGCAGGTCTTTTCTATTTAATTTTCCTGAACTTCAAGGGGGAAGGAATGTTGTGGGCCCCAGAAGTGTTGCTAAACAAGAAAGGAAAGATAAAAGTAGAGAAGCTGCCAACGGTCTCTGAATCATATCTTCATCTTTTCTTTCTTGACTCCAGTTACACACGGGAACCTCCACTGTTTTTACAGCTAAAGCACTATTTTTGGGAGAAGACCCCCTCACTTTATGAACTGCCTTATGGTACGAAAGGAGCAGGTAAGCAAACAATATATCTCCTTCTCTTTCTCCCTCCTTCTTAACATAACGCTTCTATTTTTATTTTATTTTATTTATTTTTTATTCTAGTTTACTTCTATTTGGTTGGACAGTTTTCATCCTCCTTTGTTAATGGCTTTGTTGGAATGATGGCTCAACATATTAAGTTTCATTTGCCCGGCATGCCTGAATCTGATGCAGAATATGGTTTGGTGTGGGTTTTTTTTTTTAGTAATTTTGTCCTCCTCTAAATTTCTCCAAGATCCACTCTATCATCTATTTTTATCAAATTTTATTAGTTTATAGTGTAAAATGCAAAGAAAATACAAAAGTAAATAGTAGGAAAGATTGGGAAGGGGAAAGGGGAGAGAAAAGTGGTGGAAAGCAAGGAGAAAAAAAGACAAAAAAAGACATTTGACTTCCAACTTCCTTTGGTGCAGTAAAATAGAACATTAACATCACACCTCAACTTTTTACTTTTATGTAATAGTATAAACTACCCATTTTGATAACAACAAATCTATCTAATCAGAAAAGGCCAAAATCAAAATTTCATTTTTTTCCACCTCAAGCACAAAGTCCAGAAGCGGTTTCCACGTAGAAATAAAAGTACTTGTATTTTTGTTTTCTTTAATCAAAACAGTCAATTTAGCCATCTCTGCTAGTTCCGTCAGTCACATTGTAGATCAATGTGACCTTCCATTTCTGAGCATAGAGTAGGTCCACTCTTATCATCTCCAGATGATCTCCAGGCAGATCCAGAATTACGTAGCTTCCTACAACGGAGTTGCATTTGATGTCTTTCTTTTCAGACTTGCACACTCAAGAGCTATTGAACAAGACATTCATGCCATTGTTTAGTGGCTCTCCTCTGCCTACTCTACCTAGGTTTGTTTGGTATTAACCGTTATGGCAATCAGAGTAGACTTGATAGGTGTTGGAAAGGAAGGATGGAAGTGAAGGAAGAAATAGACAGTTATGCTCCCTTGTGTTCTCTCTCTCTCTCTCTTTCTCATTGGGTGACCTTGCCCAGGGAACCCTAGGAAGAAGGAAATGTCAAATCACTTTCAACATTTTACCAAGAATACTTTATGGATTTGTCCAGGCAATTACCAGTAGTCAAAACTGCCTCAAAGGTATCACCCACCCAACATCCTCCCCCCCCCAAAAAAATTCGGATACAAGTTTAAAATACCTTTGAGCCAGAAAAAAGATTATTTTTTAAAAAAAATTCAGGAGCAGTTATTTCAGTTCCTTCACCAGTATTGCTGTGGCCATGATCTGGAGTCTTTCTGCTTAAAAGCTAGTCTCCTGAAAATAATTTTTCGTCGCGGGACAAAGACAGAAGTTATATAACTGGGTGATTTGCCATTGTATGATTTTGTTAACGATTCCATTTTTATCTACGATGAAATCAGGTTCATCGCTTTAAAAGAAATCTCCATATTAATTATTTCAACTGCATGACCCTTTTAACTTCATTGGTTTTGCTCCAGTAGACAAAAGGTTCAGTTGACATAATGCACTAGATAAATTTTTGCTGCACATGAATGGATCCATTATAAAGTTGCTCTTGGCTGGTATTTCAACCATGATAACAACACAAAGGAAAGTATTTTGTCTCCAACTTCCCCACACTGAGATATAACATCAACATCACCAAGTTGGTTACAGTACTCAAAAATAACAGACAGTCCATTAAACATTATTTGTCCAGGAAGAGATGAACTCTAAAAACTAAACGCAGTTCAAGGATTTTTATACAAAAAAGGAACAGTAATATTTCCTAATCTGTGTCTCTCTTTGTGTTAGACAAAACTGCCATTGTATACAAAAGTCACTTAATGAAAAGTCTATTGTGTTACAAAATGTGTTGGCTTCTGCTTATTAATCATGGGAGTCTTAGCTTTATTTCTTTTATGTATTGATTGGGTGGTTCTCTTAAATTTCCACACAATTAATACTGCACACAACGTGTTTTAAAAAGCTGAACTTTTTTTATTTTATTTTATTAAATTATTTAGTAGCACAGATCTCTTTTAAAATGTGTTAAATATCAGACGTTTGAAGCGAGAAAAAAAACTTGTTAAGAAAGGACATGTAATTTATTCTTATTACCTTGATGACATTTTCATCTTCCAGAAGGGAAAGAAAAGAAACAATAGAAGCAGCTATCCTTAGCCGTTTGATTACCAGGAAAAATTGTAATTGTAAAATATAAACCTTTGGTTGAAATGATAAGGTTAGCTTGAGAAAGGGAAGCACGTTCAGACATTCAACCTGGATTTGAGTAGACTGCAGCATGTTTAAGGACATATTTGTTATAGTTTTCCCAGTAGAAATATTTAAGAAGTTCCAGATTAATGGGCAGTTTGTTGAAGGAAAGCATTGGATAACAGAATAACAGAGCTGGAAGGGATTCTGGAGGTCTTCTAGTCCAACCCCCCCCCCCCCCCCCCCCCCCCGTTCAAGCAGGAGATGCTTTATTGGGGACCCTATATAACCTTACACTGAAGAAACTATGAATACACAATTAAATGAGCAAAAATAAGAGAGCACTAAAGAAAATATATAGCTGCATTACCAAGTCTATTTTTGGCGAACTCAGTTTGAGAAGGAAAATGTATAGGAAATGTGTTTCAAATAAGGTATGTTAAGGTTGACTACAAAAGAAGCAGATATCATTGCAAGAGACACGTGTTTTCCATCTTCCAAAAAGAGAGAAAAAAATTCTAAAAGCTAAATATTTAGAAACTAGCCATCTTGATGCCGATACTTGTATGTATCTGGACTAGATCGTTGAGCAGCTAGTTTGTGAACATTTGGAGGGAGAAATAGCTGCCTTCACAAAGAGACGGATTAGGTTTCTGAACAATAAATCTGATCAGATTAATTAACTTAAGTACTTTCAGGATGAAAATAGATCCAATGGCAGGATCCTGACAGGGGTAAGGAGTTAGATCAATGGACTCACGTCAGTGAGCTTTCAGCCTTTTTAAGATGTCTCTTTGCGAATACGGTTATTTCGTTTCTAGGACAGGTTGCCACAGCCAACTCATCGTGGCCAACTCGCCACGGCCATCTTGCCACGGGACAATTCTGCCACGGCCAGCTTTCCATGGGACAAGTTGCCGCAGGAGAAGAGTTACACCAATATCAAAGAAATGGTGAAATAGAATCATTAAAGAAGGGATACAAAAGGAGGACGGAATGAAATGTGAATGACAAAAATTAAAATTATTTTTTAAATTATTTTAAATAAATGAAATGGTTGAATTTTCCTGCGACGAGGTGCCTGCTAGCGATTTGGCCGTGGTGAGTTTTCCTGTGGCCAGCTGACCGTGGCGAATTGGTAGTGGCAAGTTAGCTGGAGCAAATTGTCCCATTTTGTTCTGCTGTTCCTAATATGTAATAGGTATCTTAACCAGCTTTCTTAATTGCCTGTGTTGTTTGCTCTGCAGAGGAAATTCTCCTACGTCTTCTAACCATCACAAGCTTCTCTCTCCCCGAAAACATTGAAAGGTAATATCAGTTTATCCGTTTCCCCCTTTCCTGACGTTTTTAAGCACATTGGAAATTTCCAGTTCCCTTTTGAAAATACACGAGCTATTCTACAGCCTTAAAAGATCAGGAAGTTTGCTTTGCGTTGAAGACCGTGGAGAGGGCTTCTCGCTTAGAGCTTGCTAGGACAGGCAGTCCCCCACTTACAGTACAACTGCCATTGGGACCGGGGATCCTGTTACTAAGCTGAACGGTTGTTAAGTCACGCCAGATTTTGTGACCTTTTGCGCCACAGTTGTTAAGTGAATCCCTGCAGTTGTTAAGTGCATCACATGGTCTTAAGCGAGTCTGGCTCCCCCCCCCCATTGAGTTTGCTTGTCAGAAACCACCTGGAAGGTTGCCAATGGCAATCACCTGATCCCGGGACGCTGCAACTGTTGTACATAACGTTTCTGTTGCCAAGTGTCTGACTTTTGATCACGTGAGTATGGGGAAACATGCATGGTCATAAGTGTGATGGCCAGTTTTAAGTCACTTCTTTTGGTGCCGTGGAAACATCGAACAGTCACTAAATGAATGGTTGTAAGTTCGAGGATTATCTCTATCCATTCCCTTCTACTTCTTGCTTCATTTTCCCCTCCCTGCCTTTTTTTCATTGACCACTTCTGCTTTTTGCTTGGCTGGGTTTCATCCACTTGTTAAACAGCTCTCAGCTTGCCTGTAGAAGCCTATAGAGCCACTCCTGTTCCTCCCCCCTGCCCCCCCATGACATCTTTAGGCTCCTTATCCGGGACTCTCTCAATGCTGTCTAATGTCTATGTGCATTTACCCGTTTAGTATGACTGTAGTACTGTTTTTTGTTCTTCTTAACCTATCTTATCTTATCTTATGTTATCTTATGTTATCTTATCTACATTGTGTTTGTTCTTTTATTATATTGCATTATGTTACCTTACCTTACTCACAGGTCTATGGAGATTCTCAGTCCTCCAGGTCATGGTGTCTTCAGCTCTGACTGGATGGTGGGGAAATGGAAGGATTTATATTCCTTGCAGACAGCTGGTCATTTGCATTCTTTTAGAGAGTCGTTGAAGCCATTCCCCACCACCCAGTCAGAGTTGAAGAAGCTTCTTGGATGAGAAACCAAACGTCTTCAAAAGAAAAATAAGAAAGTCCCGTTGCCTCCTGAAAAAGCACTTTTGGGACTACGTTACATTATGTTACATTAATAATATAATGTAACGTAACGTAACGTAACGTAAAATAACATTCTATATTCCTCCCTTTTATTGATATTATTATTATGACTATTATTATTCTGTTGCTTTGCATGTACACTGAGAGTTTCTGCACCGGAGACAAATTTCTTCTGTGTCTAATCACCCTTAGCCAAATAAAGAATGAATTCATTCATTTACTCATTTATTTATTCATTCATTCTCAATGTTTCCCATTTCCCATGCACATCTTCAGATTGTGACACCTGCTGGGGTTATCATTGCTAAGCAATGTGGTTGTGCAGGAGAGGGCAGGCTGCCTGAAATTGGCTAGCAGCTGGGCTGATGTTGCCCTGCCCATTTTAAGACCCCTCCGTGGCCGCCCCAGTTGCCCAAGGATGATAAAAAGCTGAGCAGAAAAACAGTTGTGTTTTTGTTGTGGTTGTGTTGAAGGTGTTCTAGGAGGGAGAAGGGAGGCGCTTTCTGTTACTTTGTGGAAATAAAGCCCCTTGAAGCTGCCTAGGGCTAGTAGTCAGAAATATTGTTCTTTAGGAGTGAGGCTCACACACTGTAGCAGTCTAGTACTTCCTTGGGAAGTGTGTGTGGAGGAACTGTGGCTACCACCCATTGCGTGCTTGTGTTTGGGTTGCCTAAAAGCCAGGGGGGCGTGTGTTGGCCCTCTGGAGCTTTGGCTGCCTAAAAGAAACTGTGACATCATTTTTTTAACTATTGCACTGCTTAGTGACAGCAATCTCAGCCCCCAGTTGCCGTCGTAACCCAAGGACTATCTATCTAGAGATTGAGCATAGCATATACCAGAGATGCTTTCCATCACTGCATGGAAGAGCACTTGGTAATGCAGGCGATGAGTTGTAACAGTGAAATGTGATGTGTGGTGCATTAAACGTCCTCTTTGCCTGTTTTGCAGCTTGAAGTGCCGCCGATGTGCAGTCGTTGGGAACGGCTATCGGTTGAGAAACAGCTCAATGGGAGAAGTCATTAACAAATACGATATTGTGATCAGGTATTGAGAAGCAGATGATGTTGATCTGTGTCATTTCCATTTATATCACAATGGACCAGAGAATTACTCATAATGGGAAACCTGGCCATATTAGGGCATATCTTTTGTTTAGGAATACTTGATGCTGGGATGCTGTTTCTGCCCACGTGTCAATATACACGAAGTCCTTGACTTACAACCGTTTGTTTAGGGACTGCTTGAAGTTACAACAGCACTGAAAAAAGCGACGTATGGCCGTTTTTTCCCCCACAATCGTTGCAGCACCCCTAGGGTCACGTAGTCAAAATTCAGATGTTGGCAACTGGCGTGTATTTATGATGGTGGCATGGTCATGTGATCCCCTTTTGTGACCACCTGACCAGCAAGGCCAATGGGGAAGTCAGATTCTCTTAATGACCGCGTGATTCAGTTAACAGCTGCAGCGATTCGCTTACACCTGTGGCAAGAAAGGCCGTAAAATGGGGCAAAGCTCCTTTAACAACTATCTTGCTTAGCCATGAAAATTTTGGGCTCTGTTGTGATCATAAGTTTATTTTGTCAAGGTTCCAACTGACGAACCGAACCAAGCAAACACCTTCGTGGCTTTCTGAACTTTCAGTGTAAAACTTTATTGAGTACATCATTTTGGCCCGCATGCATGCAAAACCGGCTCTGGCAAAACCTCACCCAATCTCATATAATAAAAGTATAGAATTTCCCCTCCTCCTTCTTGGTAAGGTCACGTTTCCCAATTAGGTGGAATAATATTGTTATGAGAAAGTGTCTCTGGGTCTGGCCAGACATCTGGTGAACTGTCCTTGGTTCTCATGGTCTGTTTTCTTGATCTTTTGACGTCTGCATTCCAATCCCTTTTCCCCCCAAGTTTGTTGGCAAGCTGAGAAGCAATAATTGTCAAACCAGAAAAAACGTGCTTCGAACCTGACATATTTTTTTTAAAAAAATATTACTGAACCAATTCTTGAAGAAAAAACATGCTCTGTTCTCATGTTCCATGTGCCCTGCCCAACCGACCAGTGGCCACTGTTCCGGCATCAGTTTCTTATAGCTGGAATATTTCCTTATACATGAATCCATGCCCACATGACTTTGTGCCCTTGTGTATCATCTTCTCTTCCTCTCTCCAGGCTGAACAATGCGCCAGTCCATGGTTACGAACGTGATGTGGGCACCAAAACCACCATGCGACTTTTCTATCCCGAGTCAGCACACTTCAATCCTCAGACTGAGAACAACCCAAACACATTGCTGGTGTTAGTGGCGTTCAAACCCATGGATTTTTTGTGGATGGAGACAATTCTCCACGACAAGAAAAGAGTAAGCGGTTAGCCTATCTTTTTTGTGGGTGTGTTTAATCGTGGAAAAGGACACAAGGCCCACTTGCTGAAGAAAAAACAAATTCACTGTGGATTCGGAAGTTCTTTTCTTCCACCCTCCAAAGCAGAGTGTTTGTGTTATAAATACTGATTTGTTTGTGGGGTTGAATGTGGGATGTCCAATTTTGGTCTCACGTAAATGAAGCTCATTAACCAGATGTGGACAAGATCCATTTTCTTTGTCTGATTTCCTTGCTCATCTGTGATTGAAACAACATTGCTTCACTAAGTCCTTCTGCGATTGGAGAAGGCAGAAGGAAAAACCCGGAGGAACAGAAAGAAGAGCTGTCTAAATAAATTATCAAATAAAACAAATCTGACTCCAAGACAGAAAGAAATTTGTGAATGCTTTCAGATAAGACCTACCTTAGTTTTCATCAAGATAGAGGTAGTTCTCAATTTACGACTGGCCGCTTAGTGACCGTTTGAAGTTACAAGAGACCTTCCTGGAGCTACTTACAACCTGGTTCCAAAGTTCCAACAGCTGCCCCCCCCCCCTAGTTATCGCAGTCTCCTCTGGTCACATGACTGCATTTTATGAAGTTTTTGCCAAAAAACCTCAGTATTTACTTCCAATTTTCAGCAAAACCATCCCGTAGCGAACCTGTGGTTCATTTAATTTATTTATTTATTTATTTGATTTGTATCCCGCCCTTCTCCTTACCGGACTCAGGGCGGCTGACAGCCTTATAAAACCAATATTACAATAAATACCAATTTAAAACCAGATTAAAAGGAAATATTTGCAATGGCCTAATAATTAAAAATTATTAAGCATTCGCTTAACAGACGATGTAAGAAAGGTGGTAAAACCAAGTCGGTCATGGGGTGACCTGTTTTATAACCATCACAACTTATGACCGTGTCTTAAATCGAGAACTACTTGTAAAGAGAAGTAGGGAAGAGATATATTCAAACCTGCAAATCCTATTTCTGTAACCTTAGAATAAAAGTAATTTTAGCTTGCCTGCTTTTAGTTCCCTGTTTGGTCTACCTTGGAGGGCTGACAACATCACAACACCAGTCAACAGAATGCTCGTTCTGTATTTCTTGAGCATTTTTGACGCCAAACAGTAGGAAGCCGCAGAGAACGTGAGGAATCAAACGGGAGATCAAGTGTCCAAATGAAACACCAAAATGCTTCTCCTAAAATTGGAGAAGTAGGTTTTTTTTTCTGCATTACTTTTCGTTCTCTCCCTATTTCACCAGGTTAGACACTTATGCTTTTGATGTAAAGCGTGTGTGACTAATTTCCCTGTGTCTGCTATGTTTCCAGATTCGGAAGGGTTTCTGGAAACAGCCTCCCTTAATTTGGAATGCAAATCCTAAGCAAGTACGAATTCTGAACCCATATTTTATGGAAGTTGCGGCTGCTAAAGTGCTTAAGCTTCCAATGAAGCACTTGTGGAAGCTTAGAGAGGTAAGGCGAGATAACCAGATGTACGTGTGTGTGTGTGTGTGTGTGTGTGTGTGTGTGTGAGAGAGAGAGAGAGAGAGAAGAGAGAGAAGAGAGAAGAGAATTAGAAGTATGAGTATGCAATGAAGGGATGGATTATTTGAATACATGATTTGAAGCCAACTCCCAGAATTCCTGAGCCACTCCTGCCATATATCTGGACTTTACATCTCCAGAGAAACTTCTATGCTTGAGAAGGACAGTCCACCAGATATCTGCCTGCACAGCTGGCTGGCCAAAGAAATCTTTTGGTTTAATGTCTATGGAGATTCTCATTCATCCATGTCATGGTTGTCCCAAAGGTGCTTTTTCAAAAGGCAAAGAAACTTCGTTTTTTCTTGAAGACATTTCACTTCTCATCTAAAAAGCTTCTTTAGTTCATTCATTCAGAACTGGAGAAGTTTCTTGGATGAGATGCGAAACATCTTGAAGGAAAAACAAAGTTTTTTTGCCTTTTGAAAAAGCACCTTTGGGACAAGTCTTTTGGTTCTTCATCACTGGTACTTTGATATGTTTGAAGAGCTCTTTTGCAGAGAAGCTTGCATTTGTGGAAAGTCCCCCTCTGTTTCTAGAAGCACCTGAGTGCATGTTATGACGTTTTTGTCCCAAAAAAAAATCAGCATTTGCTTCCAGTTTTCAGCAAAACCGGTCCATAGCGAACAAGTGATTCATTTAATGGCTGCAGCGTTCACTTAACAGATGCTATAAAACAGGTGGTAAAACCAAGTCGGTCATCGGGTGACCTGTTTTATAACCACCACCCATTCCCTCAAAAAGAATTTCAACCTTGATTTATCTTCTTTGAAAATAAAACCTTGACTTTTGGCTGCAGTGTTCTGTTTTTTCCCGGTTGGCAGCTTCTATATTGCAAAGGCTTTTTTTTTTACTCCAGACAGGTTTGCCAAGCTGTGGTTATTTCTTTTTTTTTGTCACTTGTTTGAAAATCTTAGTTCTGCCCTCCTCCCACTTCTTAATGTTTATTTCTGCATGAACCTGATCAGATAATTTCCATGACTGAAATTTAAACATTCATAAGGAAGTCTTCTGCCAGTTCTTATATAACTACCGTACATAACTACTTAACTCTGTTGTCAATTACACCGTGACAATAAAAATATTGTATTCTACATTGTCTTCAAGACTCCGTGTCTGCCCTATGAAAATAGATCCTGATAATCCATCTATTTGTTTCATTTTTTTTTAAACAAATGAGTCATCTGTAATGTTTTTATTGAAGTTACTTCCTGAAATCTTGGTTAACAATGAGAAAATCTTCATGAGACTGAAGCAGGTCTTAACTAAACCGTTTCAAGGCCAAAGTGTAGACTTTTCATGCTCTGCTTAGGCGTTTCCCCTATAAATAACAGAAGCAAAATGATAATAAGCTAGGCAAATAACTAATTTGGGTTAGGTTGCTATGATCAGCTTTTCTTTATCCAAAGAGATTCAGGGAGATTAGCATCTCTGCGTAGCCACAAGATTTACTGGACTATCTTATAGCAGTCACCCTCTCTCATGCTACCTCCTAAGATTGATCTAAAAATTAAAAGCCAGGAATTGTTGAAAATATTGACCATTGCCCTTTAAAAAATGGGCAGGTTAATGAATTGAAGGAGTTTCTATGTATGTTCCTAGTAAAACTAAACAATTTTGCAAACCCTCTCTGGACAATTTAACTGGGGTTACTACAGATAGTCCTCGACTTACGATCACAACTGGGCCCAAAATTTCTGTTGCTAGGTGAGACATTTGTTAAATGAGCTTTGCCCCATTTTCCTTGCTATAGTCGTTAAATGAATCACTGCCATTGTTAACTTAGTAACATGGATGCTAAGTGAATCTGGCTTCCCCATGAACTTGGCTTGTCAGAAGGTCGCAAAAGGGGATCATGTGACCCCGGGACACTGCGTAACCACCATAAATATGAGTCAGTTGACAAGCGTCTGCATTTTGATCATGGGACCATAGGGGATGCTGCAATGGTTGCAAGTGTGAAAAACAGATATAAGTCACTTTTTTCAGTGCTGTTGTAACTTTGAATGCTCAGCAAGTGAACTGTTGTAAGTTAAGGACTACCTGTGGATCATTTGTTCTAAAGTCTAAGTCAGGGGTAGGCAACCTTGGCTCTTTTATGACTCGTGGACTTCAACTCCCAGAATTCCTGAGCCAGCATGGGTCAGCTTGGAAACCTCTCCCTTTCCCCTCAGCATGGCTGGCTCAGGAATTCTGGGAGTTGAAGTCCACGAGTCATAAAAGAGCCAAGGTTGCCTACCCCTGGTCTAAGTGAAGCCAGACTGCCATGTATGGAAGCCTCAATTATCAATGTCTCTTACTCTAGAAACCAACCACAGGATTAGTGGCTATCACTGTCGCCTTGCACTTTTGCGATGTGGTAGATATTGCTGGCTTTGGATACCCCAGTTCAGATGACAAGAAGCAGAGTATTCACTACTACGAGCATGTTACAGTGAAGTCTATGGCTGTGAGTAACCTCATCTCTTCTCTTCTAATGAAGATAGGGAACTATTCATACTGAAACAGTTCCGGCCTCATATCTCTGTTTAATAGGTCAAGGGATATATTAGCTTCTTATCCATATACATAGTACCTTTGCATGAGATGACATACATCACGTCAATCCCAGTTTAACTGAACAGAGAAACTCTAGGTAGTGGCTGTAGAATGTGGTAATATTGTAAATCCATTTTAAAACAGTACACTGCAAGTAGGCTGCCTTTTTTTTTTTTTGAAGCAACCTACTGTAGTGTGTTAGGATTCCAAAGTGGGTGAATCGGAAAGCCAGAGTTAGTTGAAGATGCTCTGGTTTATGTGTTTAGCATAAAAAAAAAACCACCAGCCTGCTGCTTCTACTAATCGGTTTTCTTTTATCTTATTCCACAGTCTTCAGGGCATAATGTCTCCCACGAGGCATTAGCAATAAAACAGATGCTTGAATTGGGACTCGTCAAGAACCTCACTTATTTCTGATGTAAGATGGACAGCCTTTGTGTTCACGTCGAGCTGGGCCTTGTGCCAGCAGGACAAAGCCCTTTGTGGCTGGCCCATTCTAACATATAGCCATCCCTTCCATTCCAACGCTGACTGGTGCAGAGGCCTTGCAGTTCCCTGCAAACGGTGACCAGGCTGGATGGAAGTGTACGGCTTCTAAATGTGTTGACAGCTAGGGGTAGAAACAGTCCTGTAGAGAACCTGGGTGATACCAGCAGTCGGAAGCAGGAGTCTTTCTTCCTTATTGAGCACTTGCCCTCTACAGAATCTTCTTCATTTGGATAGTTGCAGAATTTTCTTTGCCATCTAACTGAGAGGTTCCTGCATTCACCAGAGGCACCTTTGGAAGATGAAAGCTAAGTTGCTGTGGATGGGCCTCAAAGAAGATACGACGCAATTTCCCATGGCGATAAAGTGATTGTCCCATAAGGTTGTTTCATTAATCATTCCCCCCTTCCTCGGCAAACCAATAGATGGGTGGTTGTTTGTTATTTTATTTATCGTGTTGGATGTTACCTAATGGGCAAGAGGCAACTGAATGAAGGATTATTAGCTGTCTGCCACCTTGTTTCCCTGTCTAGATGAAGATGAGACTAAAGTATGCTGGTTCAAATCTCTGGGCAATGCAACAGTTGAGGATGCCCAGGTAGAGGAGATAGCGAAGTTTATTTCTCTCCCGTCTGATTGGTTGGTTTTAGAGACCAGGTTGGAAAGGAGAGTACCCAACAGTATTTGCTGGTAGTTTTTATACTTAAAACAGTAGAGTTGAATGGACGTTTATTTTTTATTTTTTTTCGGGCACAGGCTCGGGCACGAAACCCTTCTGTGAAGGACACGTTGTTTTGCCCGAGTAGCACATATCTGATCTTAAATAGAAGGAGTAGATTTCTTTCCTTCCCATCAAGTGGGGATGACTACCCAACCAGAATTGATGGACAATGCAAAAGAGCTATCCTGGCCAAAGTTAAGCAGGAAAGGAAGGGCAAGAAAAGTAAGAGAAGAAGAAAAGGAGGTACCTCTCTACAGAGAAGGAATCGGCAGAACCCCAAAGCTGCGCAGCACTTTTGCCGGTCTGTCCCACGGTTAGGAAGGGGAACAATGTCATTCAGGACAAAGGCTAATCTCAGGGGCCTGAAAGTGAAGGTTGTTTTGAAGTAAGTTGCCTTTTCCTAGAGGCAGGGGAGGGCAAGGGGGGTCCAGGCATTTCAGATGTGCCAGTCCTGGTTAGGATTGGATGTGTTCTCTTCTTCCCCTTTAATCTCCAATGTGGGATCAAAGTGTATTCACTGTATATCTGATGTATTAAGTGCACTTGTCAATCGAAAGCTCTGATTGAATATTGGAGACCCGGCAATCTTCCGTTTCTCCCTCGAGACGGGATCAACCGCATAAGGTACAAGACCACAAGACCACCTCGCTGTACACCATCTCCATGTACTTGTGCAGCCAACGTGCCTTAGCCATCTTCGCAAGTGCCCGGCTTTGAGGGGGCCTGCTGGCCAATGCAAAACTCCAGCGGCTGAGACCACCTGATTCATTGCTAAGAAGATGGATTGCTGAGAAGGACGGCCCCGTGGACTTGACATTTAAGACACAGTTCCTGATTCCTCCTTGGAAATCGGGAGGGAGAAGGGATTGTTTATTAAATGGCAATTCCAAGGGGCGAGGGTGTGGGTGTGGGTGGGGGTTGAATCCCACGAGCAAGTGTTGGAAGTGTCTTTCCTGGCCAAGCGATAACAGCAGTGTTAAATAATTTAATAAATTTAATTTAAAACAGTCCTTTGCGAAGTGTCTTTGTTATATTTATATTATACAGGGGTGGGGAGGACATGTTTGCAGTCTTCCAATATTTGAGGGGCTGTCACAAGCAAGGGGGGGGGAGGGCTTATTTTCCAAAGGACCTGAATGCAGGACAAGAGGGAATGGAAGCTTATCAAAGAGATAACAACTTAGAAAAACTAAAATTTCTACAACTAAGGAGAAATTTCCTGACAGTGAGAACAATCAAATCATTGGAATGGCTTGCCGCCTGAAGTTTGTGGATGCTCCATCATTGGATGCTTTAAAGAAGAGATTGGACAGGGGTTGAACTAGAAGACCTTCAAGGCCCATCACAACTCCCTGTTATACTGTTATTGTGCCTTTCCTTCAGGAGAAAAAGGTAGCATGCCTACAGTTGTAATGGACAGAAGGAATAACCTGGATGAACAGGAGGAAGAAAACAATCAAATACAAGAAATTTGAATCTGAGCCAGAGTCAGAGCATAACTTGAAAGTGTCTTAGACAAGACCCTCCCTAGTTTTGACAAAGATAAAGAGAGGGAAGGGGAAAACACATTTGGACATGAAAGATTCTGTTACTATAACCTTATAATAAAAGTAGTATTAGCATGTGTGACTGGTTTCCCAGCTCGGTCTACCTTGAAGGGCTGAGAATAGCTCTCTAATTTATTCATTTATTTGATGGCGGCGCCTGGATCAGCAGCGGCTACATTGGCTCTTGAAGGTGAAAAGTTATGGGAGGGATATTAAGGGATATAGGCCACATGATCAGGAAGGTTTTAATGTGTTTGAGCAATGTGGTGGAACTAAAGTAACATACAACATACGACTGACAATCTTTGCTGGCATGGCGAGTTTCTAGCTGTTTGGTGAGACCGTTAAAAGTCGTTGGCGCTGTTTGAAATTGTTCTGCAGGCAGCAAGATCTGACTGCTGGCCCAGCGACGGATTCTATTGCAAATAAGGGCTGTTTCCAAAGGAGGCCGAGGAGGAGAGGGGCTTATGGAGCGAAGGAACTGGATGAGGCTGTCGGCAGGCCCAGAGGATGGGAGAGAGGCTTTTGGAGGAGTTGATGGCGGGGCAGCGTTCTCCAGGGGCGAAAAGGAGTGAGGCCTCTTTAAGGAAAAGGTGGAAGAGACAAGATCAGAAAAAGGAAAGGAGGTGAGGTTGTCGTGCAGGAATACAAGCTAATTTGAGGGCAAATCCACATGGAGCTCCATTTCCATCTGTCCTGTTTAACCATCGTTCGCTCCCTAGAGGTTAAAATGGACGATCTGAAACTTGAGCTGGCTACGAACAAGGAGTGGATATCGGAGGTGGTGACCCTTTGAGAGCTGTATGCAACAAAATTTCATTTTGATGTATGCCGATTGGTGTACTTTCAAAGTGACAATAGAATTATTATTATTATTATTATTATTATTATTATTATTATTATTATTATTATTATTATTATTATTATTATTATGGATCATCGCACAGTCAGCCAGATGTTCAGACTGGATTTGGCATTTTGTCTACCTATCGAGTCCTTACCAAGGACCTGGGATAGGCAGATGTGAATGTTTGATGGTATTACAGATATCGTCGTAGGATGGAAGCAGTTCCTAGTAAGGCCGCCTTTTGCAATTGACTAATGGCGAATTTGTCAATGCCAATGATGGTGTTCAAGTGGTGTTCAAGTTGTTTTGGGATTGCACCCAAGGCGCCTATTACTATTGGTACTACCCTTGCTTGCTTTTGCCACAGTCTTTCTATTTTTATTTGTAGGTCTTTGTATTTTGTTATCTTCTCCAGTTCTTTCTCGTCTATTCTGCTGTCTCCAGGCACTGCCACGTCCACTATCCAGACCTTTTTGTCTTTCTTATCGACAATTGTTAAGTCCGGGGTGTTATGTTGCAGGTGCTTGTCTGTTTGAATTCTGAAGTCCCAGAGCAGTTTAACTTTATCATTTTCTATGAATTTCTCTATTTTATGATCCCACCAGTTCCTGCTTATAGGCAAAAATATTTCTTGCAGAATTATTATTATTATTATTATTATTATTATTATTATTATTATTATTATTATTATTAATAATAATAATGTACATATATCTTTGCAAAACAAGATATTTAGTGCCTATAAAATTTTCCTTGTGGCTCTGCTCAGTTGTGACAGTGTCACTCAATGTAATGGAGAAGTTGGATCATCGGCTAGACGAGGGGCTGAGAATTTTACTTTCAGTATAGTTCAGATCTCAGCAGGGAAGAAGCAACGTTTTTTCTATGTTAAAGTTGTAGAGAAGCAAAGAAAACACCCGGAGCAAAACTCTGCTCATGATGATACTAAAACAGAGAAATTCTTTGTTGGATCCATTTGAAGCTTACTAACAGGAGATCAGCTGAAAAAAAACTATTGGTGTCTAGTTTGGGAAAGATATGTAAGTAGCTGACCAATACAAGCTGAATATACAGAGAATCTGTTAGAATATTCACTGGGCAACTTTACATATTACTCCAGCCTAAAAAGAAGTTATAACTGTTTTGCTGCTTGAAGCCAGTTCACATTTTTTACATTCTGTCCTTGTGATGTTGTTTGGTATCTTCCTTCACATCCTTTTAGTCCTTTTTTGGAAAAGCATCATGGCGTGTAGCATATCTGTTTTCTTGGGTCTTCTGAAGCTGCTCTTTTCGAGGGGATCCATTTTTAGAAGGTCTGAGCCAATGTTTCTCAACCTCCATAAATTTAAGATGGGTGGACTTTAATTCTCAGAATTCCCCTGCCAGCCATAGTTGGACTTCAACGCCCAGAATTCCCCAGCCAGATGGGGTTTGAGGTCCACTGTTCTTAAACTTGCCAATGTTGGGGAAAACACTAGTCTAAACTCATACTGTAGAGAAGAAACTGATGAAGGAGAAGGCAATTGATGCAGATGACATCTCAGGAGCTGAACCCTGGAGATTAAGTCAGGGTGTCAACGCTGCTAACATCGGATGTTCTTGCTTTGACAACATATAGAGATGCAGCCATTTTCCTTCTTATGTTTTACTCTTAGAATTAGAGTTAGAATTAGATGATACTGGGGGGGGGGGGAGGAATGTGCATGGGAGTTTAGTTAGACATAACAATATTGTAACTAGCGTGAGAACCAAGGTTTTTTGAAATAAGAGATGATAAGAAATGGCCGGATTGAAGAACTGGAGGGAAAGCCTGCATTTCAAACTAATTGGAGAATGTGATTTATGACTGTTAATTAGAGGAGGGAATTGTGCTTTGATACTATGTGCTCAGGAGAGGAGAATTCAGATTTTAAGGTAAACAATGCCTCGAGTTTCATCTGTCGGAACCATGACACAGGGTTTGCAGTAGTGGTGAATATCAATAGCTCAGGTGTAGGATGAGGGTGTTTGTTCTCTGAGCTTGTGGCTTGGTTTCTGAATGTTTCATGACCAGGCTAGGTAACATCTTCAGCAGAGTTTAGGGGATATCAGTGTTAGTGTTCTGTTTATAAGGGCTTTGTGTGGTTAGTAGGTCTTGTGATGGGTCAAGGCTACTGGTGCTCTTTTTTAAAGAGGTTTTTGGTGTTATAAAACATGACTGTCCCCTTTCTCCATTTTTATTATTTTTGCTTGTAAATTGAGGGTGGGTTCAGTTAAGCTCCAAATG